AAATTTGGTGGCGCAGCATTTCAAGAATGTGTGTTAAAATATCAGGGAAAGGAAAAAAACACAGGGAAAATATATAAATACAATATATAAACCACATAAAATACAATAAACCAGTCGAGAAAAACCTACTGAGATCTTCTTCTCCCAGACAAACACTTAAGAATTACAGTTTCGCTACAAATTTAATCTATTTTAACTAGACCTTTACCTTTATTTCAGCAAGGTTCTATTGGCTCTGACTACAGAAATTTATCTGCTTCTTTCAGGCTTATTTTTGCACTAAACCTTCTTTCCCCAGATGCTTCAGGCTCCACATGCCTGATGTTACAGTCACAGGCCTGGGAACGATTTTATGGCTACCAAACCCGGTGGTTTATGCCATGACTTCCCAAGAAACAGCGGGAAGGACTCTGGATTTGTGGCTCCGGTAAATAAAATTCCTCCCGACCACTGCGGAGTCACTGGAACACAGGCTGAAGTCACCGGGAAGCAACAGAGCAGGGAAAAGCAAGGGAAGGAACAGCCTGTACTCCCAGATCCCCCCCAACAACACACCCAGCTTCCTTTAGCAACCAGACAGATTGGCAGCTCCCAAACAAACCCGGCACAGGAGCCAGCTGGGGACTGGTGCTGCTCCACCAGCCTCCTGGCCACTCCTCCCGCATCCAGGTTTCTCCTGGAAGCCTGGCATCCCTCTGCTCTGCCCTTGGGAGGCACCTGCTGCTGTGACTCGGAGCACCCAGGCAGGGATATGGGATTGGAGCTGGTTTGACCCCACCGAGATGCCCCTTCCCTCCCCGACTCACTGATGGAATCCGATGTCACGGAATTCGGGAGAGGAGCGCAGGGAGAAAAACCCTGTCTGTGGTTTAACACAAAAAAAAAAAAAAAAGAATGGAGAGGGATAAGAGAGGAGTTCAGAAGCATTAAGAACATTTGAGGAGAAATATGGATGCCCTGAGGGTCTCTAAAAATAGAGACGGAATTAGGATATCAAATGGAGAGGGCTCCAGACACTGGGGAGGGGAGTCACGATTTTAGCGGAAAAATGTCCTTTACTGAGGAACTGAACCCCACAGCAGGGATTCCTAAAGGGATGGAGGAGCCCTTGATCCAGACAACCCTGCCTTACAGGGATGTGCTCCTTCCCAAGGAGTCTCCAGGAGAGACTCCAGTTTCAGGGAAGCCACACGGAAGGAGATTGTGGTTACGGAGACAAACTCCCTCAGCCTGGATCTTCCACAGGGAGAGGAAACATCAGAGCAACGAGGAAAAAGGGTGGAAGTCCATCGGTATGGAGATGGAGTGAGGTTGGAGGTTCCCCTTGTGACAGGGACATTTCCCCTACATCCCCCAAAAGGTTCTTGCACTATGAGGAAAAACTCCTTCTGCTGAGATTTCCAATGGGAAGGATGCCAGGCACCAGCAACTCGGGAGCCTGTGGAAAACGTGCATCCCCCTACATCCACCCACAGCGGGATGTCTGGCTGTACCTACAGCATTCCCTACCCCAGGGAGTATCCATGTCCATGGGTGCATCCACCTGGGGAGCTCGGATGGATCTACGAGAACAGGTCACACCTACACATGGGCAACGTACCTACCCAGAGGTTACTCACTCCCTGCACCTACCCCGAGGGGACAGTGGGTACCTGCCACATCCACAGGTGCACATCCAACACGGATCCAACCAGGAACACCACGTGATTCCAGAGGGCAGCCAGGACAGGGGCACTCCTGGGAAAGGGGCACCCCAAGGACCGCCCCGGGGTGGGTGCAATCACGTCCCCGGCCCTACATCCCGAGGCACAGGGATATCCAGCATCCAGCCCGGACACACCTGGCCGTGCCCCGCGTGCCAACGTCACCGGCAGCGCTCGGAACGTTTTTATCTGGGCCTTATCCATACTTCCAAGCGAGCAGATAACCCTGGGGACACGAACCTGGAATGAACCCACACACACCCCAGAGCTCGCATACCACATTTCCCACAGACATCCCCACGCCTGGGGGTGCAGGAGTGGGGTGTAAATGTACCCAGTGTCACCTGAGTGGGGTGTAAATGTACCCAGTGTCACCTGAG